AAGTCTTGGTGCAAGTAACCCTTTCTTGTCCTTTTTGCCGTCATCATGGCACCAATTTTGGAAGGCAGGATTTACAACGGCGAAGGGTCCACCTCTCGATGAAGCACGATTTTTTGAGGCCATTCCAAATCCAGCTTGTCTCAGTTAATTGTGTCAAAGTTGTAGGCTAATGGCAACTAATACAAAGGAGCATACCTACTTTCTATATATTTGTAAGTTAGTCACGCTGTGGTGATCACGAAGTTTAATAACACTTTTACCCGTTATGAAAACACTAGCCTACGTGCCTGGGAATGTAATGAGTTTTTGATGATAAAAAGCAAACAAAGCTAACCCTCGAGGCATTCGAAACTCGTGAGAGCTTAAAATTTTGTTTAACATTATTCTTCCCACCTCTTAACTCTCAAGGTCATGTTAGTAGAGTCGGTGACGTAGAGGTCTACGGGCTTAACATGAGAAAAGAATATCTGTTGCGAACGTAGTCCTTTACGCCCAAAGTGAAACCTAAAGAGAGGATTCTTATTGGGTTCAAATCAAATTTTTGTTGTAGAGCCTCAACCGCCTGGATGTGAGAATTTAACTGGCTGTAACGTTTATTTTATTCAGGCTTTTTTCAATCTTGGGTTGCCAAATTGGCAAAAATCCAGCGAATAAGTTTATGAGGTAATGCCATGATATTAAGAGAGCACCGAAGTATTTCGATGAAAGTTGACGAGCCATCGAGCAGATTTTTCTGTTTCCTGTTTTCTTCACCGTATTAGTCTCAGATCAAAACCACAAATAAACCAGACAATGATTGAATATTCAAAGAGGAAACGTTTCATGCAAGATGAAAAGAAAAACTTCTTTGAAATCTTTTTCCTCTGTTCATTTACTTTGATTAGATGCGGCCATTCACATTCAAAGATATTTATCCCTTATCCTCTTTATCGTGAAAGCCATGCTGTTGATTAGCAGTCATCCTTGAAAAAGTAAACCAATTTATGGTTGTCTGAGCCCAATTTTTGCTTCACAAAGCATAAAAAAAAAACAAAAGGGCAGAAAAAACCCGCGTTTTAGCTCGTTCTTTGAACCCTTCGAGCGATCTGTGCACAGAGTTGATCGGAAGCAATCTTTCTGAAGGCCACCTGATTAACATACCCGGACATGTCAGTGAGGTTGTTATTTGCTTTCGTGCCGCTTGAAGCTTGTCTTCTTTTTTGTCTCGTGGCCGAAACTATCTCATCTATTGTTCGAAAAAACATCAAAGTTTCCACTCTTGTGCCGATAATTGGGGACCATTAGTTGCAAGGAGGTAAGTAAGTCATAGGAAATAGTCCAAAATTAGAGAAAAATCAAATTCACTGTCTTGGCGTGGGTTGCTTGTTAAAACATAAGTTTAAATTAAATATGATGATAGAACAATAAAACAGTACATAATAACATTGAACGTATTGCAGAAGGTTTGTTCAACCAGTCCAAAGAGCAAGTTAAATCAAGCAACTCATTGCAACTCTTAAAAAATGAAAAAAAGATTTAGAACTAAGCTCTTTAAATTAGTGTGAATAATTTTACGGACGTAGGAATAAATTGGGAAAACTGGTGCGAAATTGTCTTTCCTTTGTTAAGAATTTATTTCATTATTTTTTGATTGACAACACCCTTTTTCAATATCTCAATAAGCATTGTTTAGTCAAATACGTATTGGGGCGTGTACTCTTAAAAGTTTCTGTATAGGTAGACAAAATATCTGTCACTCCTGAAGGCTGATGAGCCTTCAACGACCAGCGTAGAAGCATTTATAAACATCTTGGCTTGGTACAACAATCCATATCGATACGTCCCTGTGACCTGCTTGCGAATAGCGATTGATTCTCAATGAATGCACTATCTAAATACTTCTGGATGAACTATCAAAGCCAATTCCTGCTCATACAACACACGTTTGATAATGCTCGGTTGTACCGACTGAAGTTGGCTTCAATATATTTCAACGAAGCTCTTTCCACGTCAGGAAAAACAACATAACTTTGAAATTTACAGGAAAGTAATGAGATTGAACTGAACAAAAGACATCCTTATCCAAGAGCTTGTTTTGCTTCTTCGTTGACAGTTCCCTATCAAGCAGGGCCCGAGCTGTGCTTGTCATTACAGTTGGTTCATCGATATCCTCGCAACAATCTTTCTCTCATCGCACATTGGTTGTTATGTAGTAAGTGGGCATTCCCAGTAGTGAATAACGCAGGTTAGAGACGTAGCTGCAGCATTCGATACATTTCCTCTGCATTCACACATGTACACACGTGTATTTCCCATGGCGATGTAACTGTGTAGCAGATATTGTTGAGCATCATCGGTAGAACACGTCGCTGCAAGAATCCTTTTAACCTTGGAATAAAGATGCGTATCTAAGATATCACAGTTTCCACGGTTAAGCGTAAATCCTTCTTCAAAACAAAGACTGTTTTAGTTTCTGGCATTTTTCTTCCTCTGTCAAGAACGCACAAAAATGCATACTCAGCTGAGGTGTGATCGTTGGAAGATCCTAATTATGTCGTTCCATAGCTGAAACTCAAGAATCTCCATCGGTGTTTTTTTTTGTGCCTTAAACGTTTTCTACTTTTCCTGTCCAAAAGGCATTTTTAATTGATTTTGCAGTTTTAAAGACAATTTTAACACAAATCAGCCCCCACCACGTATCAGTTACGAAGTGTAGGTAGCAATCTGCCTAACAATAATGAAAAAAAAATATTTGTACTTACTGTCTTCCTCGATATCCACGATAAGATATGCGTTCACATTAGGTGTACCGGCTGTACTTTTAAATTTGTCTGTACATAGAGTTAAGTTTCCTGTTCCAACTGGTCCTGGGGAGCCCTGCGGACCCTGTGGACCTTGAATTTCTATCGGACCCTGAAGACCTTTTGGGCCCTGAGCGCTTGAAAGCCCAATGGGGCCTATAGGACCTTGAGTTCCGATATATCCTAATTGTCCCTGCGGACCTGGCGGGCCAATTGGACCTTGAGGACCCTGAACGCCCGGTGGACCAATCGAACCCATCAGGCCTCGAGTGCCATTATAGCCTTGTGGACCCTCTATACCAGGAGGCACTGCTGGACCCGAAGGACCCTGAGTGCCATTGTAACCTCGAATACCTTGTAGACCCTGAATACTAGGCGGACCAATGGCACCCAGAGGACCTTGCGCACCTCGTGGCCCAGTTGGACCGGGAAGACCTTGAGTGCCATTATAACCTTGTTATCCCTGAATCCCTTATGATCCAGTTGGGCCCGGAAGACCTTGAGGACCAGTTAAACCTGGTGGACCTTAGGTCCCATTGTAGCCTTGCGGACCCTGAATACCTGGAAGTCCAATAGAGTCCCGAGGACCTTGAATGCCTTGAGCACCTGTTGGACCAATTTGACCTACTGGACCTTGAGTGCCATTATATCTTCGAAGACCTTGGATACCTGAAGGGCCAGTTGGACCTTGAGGACCTTGAGTACCATTAAAGCCACGTGTACCTTGTAGCCCAGTTGGACCTGGCTA